ATTTTACTTTGATTTTAAATTTGTTTTATTGGAAAAATTGTATCGTTCCTCATCGACGTGATCTAGAAATACAGGCAGATCCCTATCATTTGGCACAATCGGTACATTATTTTTTATAGTCTTATTATTTTGTGCGACATCAGATTCCACAGCTATTGCTTTGTTGCCGGCATGAACCTGTACTATATTCTGCAATTGCGTTTTATTAGAGTTTATACTGTCTAAATTGCTCAAATCCTACCAAATTTAATATTTATAATTTTTATACAATATTTTTCGTATTATATCGCGCGCGCGCGTATATATATAACAGTTTAAGTTTGCTTACTTCTTTGTGACGTGTGATAAATGAATTTATATTTTTTGATAGTTCATCAGCCCAATGTTGTTCTAACACTTTGGAGAAACAAGTATTTGTATATGGATCTTCAATAAATGGTAGTGCATAAAACGGTTGTAATTCCATATCAAATTCTAATTCTTTGCCATCTCCGTCCAAATAATCTTGTAATTGCTTCATGCTGCCCTTGTTTTTCAATTTCAATGGTATTGTTTTGTTTGTTATTAATAATATTCTTAGACTAATTATTGAAAGTATTTTATGTATAAAAAGTATTATATAAAATAATTAAATATTTTATAATATAAATTATTACATTAAACTCAAATATATAAAAATAATAAGAAAATGTTCAAGAAAATTAAATACGCACAGAAGATAATTTCTGTTCTATAATTCATTTTAAAAAATTCAAATTACCTCCATGCATTTTTCCAAAAGATCATTCTCTATTGAAGACGATTTCAGTGTACCTGTTTCTGATTCTGATGGTAGATCTAATCCACAAGAATTGACAATGTTACGTATACAATGTGTATATAATTATATCAAATTATGTACAATACTATATTATATTATATACCATTATCTGTTTTACCATATTCTTTATATCGATTAGCATATAATTTACGTTTAGGTAGTACAGCAAAGTATACGTGCAAATAAAATGTTAATTTTTTGTATTCTTCACATTGTTTAATACTATCAGAGAACAAGTTACTCCACAACTAAAAAGAAAGAAATACACCACAGTATATGTAGATATTCAATGTTGATTATAAGTATTCTTTTACTTGGAAAAACGTTGAATAATCTCCAGTATTGTAGTATAGCATTAGTTGATCATAGAGATCTGTTACTTCTTCTAATTTACATCCCAAAGTTTGAAAGCCCATTTTTGAAGCTTCTTGAATTAAAGCTTCAGCAGTACTTTCAAAATTATGATCCAAAAGAAACTGCAAATCGTTTTTACAAATTAAAAATTACAGGTCATTTTAAATATAATATTATAAAGTTGTTGCATTAATGTTAAATATCATTAATTATACCTGATGGATTACTTCGATGTTTTTATCAGCCATTTGATTCTTCATGAACACAACTCAGTTAATTGCATAAGTATATAGGCACTTTATTCTGCCTAAAAGTATTATAATTATAAAAAATCTACTGTGTGAAACTTTACTAGTTAAAAATAAACTTAATAATGTAAAGTCTTTTTAGCTTTATTTTTTTAATTATTAAGTTGTAAAAGACTTTTGTATAATTTTTTTATATATTTTGTATATAAACAACTTAAATAATTCATTTAATTAATATCAAACTGAAGATACTTTTAAATTATCATTTAATATTAATATGCAGTTTGATTTACTTTTACCCCACTGACATTCAGTTATTGTTCAATTTATTCTCGCACACGTAACTTGGCAAGTATTTTTCTGACGAACTCATGCCGCAGAGAGTGTGTCAGTTAAGGTTCATTAATCGATTTTATGCAAATATACTATTGATCAGTATACAGCACTCGAGTAACAGCAGCAACGTGTATTTCGGCGATTGTCGAGCTCCATTTTTACTATTAAAATTTGCACTTGTTAAACGTAGACGTCGGGGAACGTTGTCACGAGCGATTTCTGTATCACACGACGTTTCGATATATCCGCGTAACGGAGTTAATAATTTGCCATCGTCATGTGATCCGCGGAAGAAAATAAACGTTTGACGTTTACGGCTACGTATCTACGGTTCTACGACCGAGGAGACTTCTGCTAGCTCTGTCAGTTTCGTCAATCTCCCTCGCACGCACGCGCACGTGTGCACGCGGTCCTCGACTGTCACGCAGTTGTTTACATTATCGTTCATCGACACTTATCGATCCGTGATATTATATTCCATGGAATACTGTATTATTTACAATTTAGAAAAATTGTAAAAATGACGGAAGAACAGAGTTCCCTGTTGCACAACACTGTTATTTCAGAGGTTTTCTCTCGTTAGTTAATTCATGTATATTTAATTCAGAGGTTATATTTTATTATGAATTCTGCAAATCACAGATACCTGACAGTGCGTGTTACATACCGAATTTTATTACTGAGGAAGAAGAGAGGCAAATTATAAAATGCGTAAATAGTGTACCGCAACCAAAATGGACGCAATTAAGTCACCGTAGGTTGCAGAATTGGGGTGGTATACCGCATCCTAAAGGAATGATAGCAGAAACGATTCCTGATGTAGGTAGAAATGTGACATCTTAGTCCGGATTGTCTACAATGAGTTGGTAGTTAGTAGTCTTAGAAATTAGCTGCTGTCCAACTTTACCAATTCACCAATTTCAACCAATCCTTGATTTCTTCAGACTAGCTTCTGATTCACCAACTACAGACTATCGACTAATTGTCGACTCGGCATTAGAATTTATTTAGAAAGAGATGAAGAAACTAAAAGCCTCTGTATTTATTATATAAGTACTTTATATGCATTATTTATATGCAGTTATTAAATGAATGTATTATATTAACATTTTAGTGGCTTGAGAAATATATTGATAAAGTGACAGCTTTGAGTGCCTTTGAGAAAGGAGTATTGCCTAATCATGTTTTAATTAACGAATATTTATCTGGACAAGGAATAATGGTATGTTGAGGATGAAAATCAGCTTATTTTTTCTTTATTATAAGGTATAAATTATAAACAAATAAAAAAATGGAGCTGTAGGAGTCAGTGCAAAGTCTTTTATTTAATTTGTTTGAATTTTATGAGTTCTTCTATTGTTACTAAAGATGAAAATGATTAATTTTATGATAATTTACTCGGTAATTTACTGTAAATTAGTCAGTAATTTATGTAAGTTGGTAAAATGATAATTTAAAAAAAAAATTATAAAATAATTTGATATAAGAGTATTTAGTCATTAAGTTCAAAAATTTAAAAACACTTTATTTAATTAAAATTTTTATTTGGATACTACATATTATAATAATAATTAAGAAAGTATATAGAACTAGAGAAACTACAAATAAATTTATTAAAATTTTGAAAGCAAAAAGTGTGATAGGTAAGTATTGTATAGTATATTAAACTATATATTTTTTCATACTTCATAAACTTATAGGTAACAATTTTATTTGCTTGCTATTTTAGCGACTCTCAAAGACAGTTTTTACTAGAGCAATAACAAAAATATAATTATGTATGAAAAATAAAATAAACTTCTTGTAATTGTACTATTGCCAGAAATGCCAGAATACTTAGTAAAAATATAGGATAAACCGATTTCTATTAGGAATATTGAATGATTGTATAATGTTCAATTTAATTATTTATAAGTATATGAAAATACAGTCTATTTATGCATAAAACTAAAAGAAATAACAAATTTTACTAAAATTATCAATAAATAGCCATTTTATCGTAATTTTACCGTAAATAATTTTAAAATTGAATTTGACAGTAATTTTGCATCTCTAATTGTTACTAATATAAATTATATTTATCTACATTACAATAGAAAAAATACAAAAATATGTACACAATATAGTAGCATATATTGAATAATAATATAATGCCTTCACTAGGCACACTCAGATGGTCCACTTTTTTATCCTGTTGTAACTACTATCAGCTGTGGTTCTCATACAGTTCTTGACTTTTACAAACGGCTCGAAATGACAGAGGTAGATACTGCAATATAAAATAAAGATTGCTACATAAAAATGCTATGTAATTGTACTGATATGATTTATATTACTTCTACAGCAACAACAACCCAAGTTAGAATTTAGTTTGCTACTGGAACGCAGAAGTCTATTAGTTCTACGGAAGGATTTGTATCATAATTATTTACATTCTATAGCAGAAAAAGATGCAGATAGCATATTAGAATCTTCAATAAAAAATTTACATATGTGTGCAAAAAAGTTTACAGAAGAAGAAATAATAAAACGTGATACTAGATTGTCTTTAACTATTAGACACGTGCCGAAAACTAGTAAATTGAAATTAAAAATTTTTTGATACATATGTATATTATTAAAATTTGGAAGACATATAATTACAATAAACAACGATTGTTATCATATGTTATGTTTTATGACTGCCGTCCATTAAAATTTATATCAAGTATACTTACTTTATGAATCGTCACATGATATTTCCATATTTGTGTTCTCTGCATCATTCTCCAGACTCACATCCATTATTTCCTCATTACCCTCATCTAACATTCCTTGTAAAGAGTGTATGGAGGATATTAAAACATGGAATTGCTTACGACGCATTTCTAATTTGTGTTCCAACTGTTCTGATTTTTCCTGTATGTGAAAAATGATTGAGATATAACTAATCTTTTTGCAAATATTTCAGTGAACTCTACAAAATACTGGTATGCTTATAAAGGAACAGATAATTGGAACAAAGAATAACAGATTTCAATCTATTAGAAATCTTATATTCTGATTTATTATTCTTATATTCTGATACTGATTTTTCTAATAGATTGAAATCCCTTATTCCCTATTCTTATTGCCTGTGCTTTTCAATGGTTCAGTATCTATAGAAGTACTAAACTTCCAAATAGAAAAAGTTATATATGTATGTGTTAATATATATTTTTTCAAACCTTTAAAGCGCCTAGTTCTTGTTGCAATGTATCAAGCTTGATGTGTGTTTCCAATCGATCTGGTTGTTCGTTAATAACTTTGGCTAATACATCATACTCTATTCTATTTTTTCTCACACGTTTGGCATCCTGCAGTTCTGTTTTAGTTTTCTCTATATCTTCCTTCGCTTTTTCTATTTGTACTTCGATATCTTTTGACAGCTTCTCGTAGCTTTTTAATTCTTCTCGACTCATGTTTGAAACTAATCTGGATTTTTTCTGTGCAAATTCGCATTGTGCTAATTGCGACAGCATTCTTTCATGCAGTGTATTGTCTACGTCAGAACTGTTAATCCATTTTATAAATGATTTCAATAGCATATTAATTCTACGATCATCACCTGTTCCATCACCATCTATGAGTAGTCGTCGACGTATTACTTCTTCTAAAATTTTTAATAAACAAAAAATTTATACATTTCACATATATACATTACGTCTCTAAACATACATTTTAGTAAAAGAAAAATGTATACAACCTTTCATTGTACAATTTATAATTACTTACAGCAATAAAATAATGTAAACATATTTAAAAATGTTACTTACCATCGTTAGACATTGTTAGATATATATTTGTAACAGCTGTAATTACAAAAAAGATTGCAATATAAATGGCCCAGATCCTCGATGACGAGGTAAACTTGGCCAAGCTTGTGCAAGGAACTTCCTAAAGTTACCGACCACCGAGGCACCGACTCGCGTTCGTCTAGTAGTGATGGGAAATTCTTTTCCGATACTTGAAAAATCGATTATTTTAGACTCAAAATAATCGATTATTATCTGATTCTTCGAAATCTCGATTCTTACTGAATCGATTCCTTTTTTTAGAGAATCGGTTTCTTTTTGGCTAATCGCAGTCGAATATGAGAATAATTTATTGTGATTGGTTGATCAAGACTATGGTTATACTGTGGTTGAGCGTCAGCTATGCATGAAAATACCATATATGTAATACTACTATATGGCTAGTGATGGCTAGATCATGAAGTAACTCTTCTTCATGGGCTAGATGAGAGAGAAGTCCCTGTCCCAGAACCACTCTTTCTCAGGTTACTTTGAACGTTGTGCGCATGCGTCGGATTCCATCGCCTCCATCAATTGGTAAGAAGAAAACACAACGTTGCTATAAAAAAATATGTATGCAAAAATGGATAATTTAGAAATAAGAAACTATGTGTTTTCTTTACACCAATTGATTCATTTCATTATACTGTTTACAAAAGCATTAAGGTACGATTATCAAAAAGTCAATATAGTTCACGAATTATTAAACATTTGTTATCAATATGTAACCAAAAAAGAATGTGTAAAATATCTCGTAAACTATTGGTTTTTTTATATCTCTACCTTGATACTTTTATGTACAAAATAATTAGAGGAATCATAATGTGCATGAAGTGAGCACCGCAATTTTGTAAAAAAATAAAATAAAATTTTTGCTGAATTGAGCTAGATTTGTGCTACATTGTGCAGCAAGAATTAATGACATAATTCAAAAAATAAAGCGTTAAATTGAAAAAAACGTTTTCTTTGCCAGCACCGCCATTTTGTTTAATCGGCAAAATAAACATTGTGCTGATTTGTGCTCGATTTGTGCTACGCTAGCACGCTAGTCGAATTGTGCCTGTATTCCGCCCAGCCCCTCAATTAATAATTGAATTTGAATGAAATTATGATGTAAGTATAATTTTATGCAATTTGTGTATAATGTTTATTAGTTTTGGAAAATTTCATTTTATAAATATAAATGATTATCGTTTTTTAAACGAATTAAACAATTATACGTGAAAATAATGCTTTTTTTAGGCATTATAAATATAGTTCAGGTTTTGTAAATAAATGTGGATCTTTTTGTATTTTTTATATTTTTTTATATATACCTTTTCTCTCTCTCATTCTCTCTATAACTATATACGGGACGACGATAATACGCCTGCATAGTATGCAATTTGTATTATATTGTATTAAATACACTTTACATTTCATATCACCATTATTATAAGAAATGGTGTAACACTCGCAAATATATAATATTTCGTCTTCCTCATCACAAAAATATGTTTATCTCTGGTATCTAATACATTAAGATCATTGGTCCCACATGTGGGTTTTCAAATATATAATATTTTCAACATATATTATGACATCTACAACTTAAACATTACATCCTTCTGGTAGTTAACATTTCTGTTGATACGTTTTTACTTAGAAAGAAGAAAAAAAGAAAAAGATAATCTCCGAAAACAAAAATCATTCTACACTCCGTTCTTAAAGTCAGGTACATCTCAAATAAACCCGGTAGTAGTTATCTCTTTCTCTTTTGTGGAATTGTAATTTTTTAATATTATACAAAATGTCATTGTATTCGCTGATATTCTCATAGACCTTTAACACATAAAATTTACCATTCAGTATATTATACAGTCAGAGACAAAGTTCATTATTATTAAAGCAGAATGTTGAATATAAAATAGTTTTTTCAATACAATAACTGAAAATTTTCATCATTTAACTGTCATGGTCTTTTGAAAGATTTTTTTTTCACAAAATATTAAAAAATACAAAAATAAGTAGTACGTATTATTGTATAATAAGTATTATATATTGTATATTTTTTATTGCATTAATTTTAAAATAAAAGAATTGTGAAATATATTATCTAACGTCAATAATAATCTCTCAATGACGTCAAAAAATATTCCATAATTAAAAAAATTTAATATAGGAATATGACAGTTGATAGTCTAATTTTAATTCTTAGCTAAGTAGCAAATGATACATTTGCGTATATGGTACAAAGATCCATAAATAATCAGAAATTAAATAATTAGCGATGTGATCTAAGAACAAGGTTGGGCATGTATTTAAAATACTTTTATATAAAAATTTTTGCAATAAAAGTGTATTTTATATTTTGTATTTCATATATAAAAGTATTATGTATTTTGTATTTAAAATTAAAATGTTGAAAATTTATCTATTTCATAATTTAAATAATAAGATTATAAATGTTAATCTTAGTATTTGAAATACAAAATATAAGATACAATTGTCTTACAAATATCGTTTTTTCAAGTAAAAATATTTCAAATATATGCCCAGCTCTGTCCATTTGAAATTTTATTGATGAAAATATAAATTATAATTTTTAATATAAAATATAAATTTATATTTATATTTTTGACTTTTCGATATCAATTTTCATTTTTTACTTATTCATAAGAGAGGAATATATTTTGATTATAATCATTGATTGATTTCTATCGTGAATATTGGAAAATTTGCTGCATATTTATTTATACATTTGCTATATCGAAATACAATATTAAAATTGCACAAATTGAATGAAATTATTATCATACTTCACAAAAGAAGATAAATAAATTACTATAAACTGTATGTGTTTAACGAACGTAGCCACGTATTTAAATATCCGGTGAAATAATCAAGGAACTTTGTCGTTTGTTTTACGAGGAAGATTTTTTTTTGTATCACGTTTAGATATATCGTGAAACAACCGTAAAGATGGTATATATAAATGCTTCGTAAAACTCCTGGAGATTGTGTTACGTCTGAGAGGGTTTTTTGCGTCTACCGAATAGATTGCTCAATACGGAACTTCGTTTGTAATCTTTCCGATCTTTGCCACCCGAGCTTTGCTCACTTTCTGATCCACTCTCTGACGCTCTTCTATTGTCCACTACTGCGATGTTTGGAGACGTTTGTGGAGCTGCTGGTGGAGCGACATAAGGCGGCAACGATGTCGGTCTGCCAGTATAAGCATTGTTTTGTTGCTGTACACCCTGTAAAAAAATATAAATCATCTCGTTTGGGCTTATAAATATAATACATTTGAGAGTTTGAATATATATATTCTAAAATATACATTTACAAAAAAAAATTAAGAATAGTGGTTACAATTTCATAAAATACATATGTAAAGTACGAGTAAATAAAAAATATAATTTTTTTCTCTTTAATTCTTAAAAAAAGGATTTACCTTAATTTATTTAATATAACTTTGAAAAGTAGAAACTTACCTGTCTAATGTTTGGTACATTCCCATATGCTGTAACAGATAAAAAATGCAATTAAAACATTTTTATTCTGTTAAAGTGATATCATAAATTGTGTGGATGCAACATTTAATTATAAAATTCTGCTAAAATAATTGTTATTATACCATAAATAGCTATTTACAATTGTTATTATTGATCATATAAATTGCAGAGTTAGAAAATCAAAGTGCAGATGTATTGGCAAAATGCGACATTAAATTAAAATTTTTTTTCACACTCTGAGCGCAAAATACTAATTTTGCTCCCTATATTGCGGGAGCAAAATAGCACTTTCTCTCCCTAGGGAGAAAAATAGTACAGAGGGAGCGAAATTGCTATTTTGCTCCCTCGGGAGAGAAAGTGATATTTTGCTCCCGCAATATATGGAGCAAAAATAGTATAATTTTGCGCTCAGAGTGTGAAAAAATAGTATGTGCATCGCGGGAGCACAGGTGTTTACCGACGAGTGCGAATTGCAGCCCTCGCTTCGCTTCGCTCGGGCGTCAAACGCGCACTCGTCGGAAAACGCCTATTTTGCTCCCTCGTTGCACAATATACTATTGAGTGTTTATAAACACAAATAGCGGAGAAATCTGTTAGTATTCATCTTTTAATAGATATGATTATGTGTTTCAGTTAAAGGTTTATATACATATGTAAATATTACAATTGATTGATGTTGCTTTAGCACATTTTACGTCCCTTGCCAAGCAATTTGCCAAATGCAGAAAAATGTTCGATAACATGTGGGTGTAGATAATGAAAATAAAAGTATTATATGTATAAACGCAGAATGAATGCATGCGATCTTCACATCGATCTCCTTTCATCGAATGTGAATGTTTTGTAATGACTGACCAGAATCATGAGGTATATTCCATTGAACCATTCTAGTCGGCGGAGGAGCACTCGATGGCAATGGAGGTGCTAATTCTATAAAATGATGATGAGTGTTCACGAATATCGACGAATATCGAGTAGAATCTTCACCTTCCTAAACCTTTTGAATCTTTTAACTTATATTGTTTACAATGATGACGTACCTTGATGTTGCGGAGGAAGATCTACACTGTTTTGTCGATGCCATACTGGTGGCTCATTCGATGAATACTGGCCAGAACCATTGTGATTTAACGTTGCACTTCGTTGTTGATAGACATTAGGCCTTCCTTGTGGTAAATGGTGTTCTATATCTGTGTGCATATGATAGCATTTAAACAAACCTTTACATTAAAAAATACAAAATTACATATTATATAATAATATATGAATGCTTAAAAAAATTATTGAAGATATGAATACAACGTAAAATACATTTAGTCTAAAAAGACATACCATTACGCCTGTATTGCACCATATTTTCCGAACTGGAACGTATAGGGATAGGTGGAGGAGCGCCCCGCGGCGGTATAGGCGGTTTATCGGTTCCTAGCATTGCGGAATTCTGTTGATATTGATCTCGTTGTGCTGCCAGTTGCTCTTGCTGCATCAATTGATGCTGTTGCTGCTGCGCGAGTAACTGTTGTTGCCTATGCATCTGCAGAAATTCCGTCTGAGTCTGTGGTTGCTCGGATCTCTGTGACGCCAAGAACGCTTCAGCATTTTGTGCGTCGTTACGCCGTTGTTGATTGTGCCGGTGCATCTGCAGGAACTCTATTTGTACCGAGCTGGGTGAATGTTGATTTGGCGAAGTGGGATCGCGCCTGATCACAGAGTTCTTGCGCTCCATTTCCGGTGTGGAAGCGCGACTACTTCCGGTCGACGCATTTCCGTCATCCACGTGTTCGAGCTTTGAACCTTGCAGCCTCTGCAAACCTTCTTGCTGCATCTGAATTTGAGAGAGAGAGAGAAATAGGAAGATTTATTTTATAATTCAAGTTCTGTAGGATATTGAAATAAAGTATATCAAAAGTTAAAAAACTAAAAGATTGAATAAATAATATTTCCTAAAAAGTGAATTTATAGAAATTGTAAAAATATGATGTTTTTATTTGAACAAACCTTTTGAGACTCATCGTAGCTTAAGAGCTGCATACTTGGCGGTAATTTTGCATGAAACGAGATTTTATTAACCCAGTCTTCCATTTCGTCCTGACTTGGTGCTAAAAACAAGAATTCTGAACCGTCCGTGCACTTCAGTCGAAATACGTTTTTCTTCTTCGTGTAATCATCTGCTTTCTCGCATATAGCATTGAAAATTGTTATCGGGGCAGTGGCTGCTTTGCTTAATGCAAAATCATCTGTATCCTTGAAGAAGCATAGCAGTTGTCCGCACAATACTGAAATGATTGTAAAATAAGTAAGTTTATGAATAAGGAAACACTTCACATCTATTTAATTTTATAAAAGTACCAGTGTAATACTGTTTCCATGATCGAACGGCTGCTTTTTTGCCAGCACTTTGAAGCTCATGCTTTCGTTCAAGAAGACCTTGAATTTCGACTGGTCGCAGGGCGTCCATGTTTTCCATTCGTTGCAGTTTTCGGAAGCTTTGCGTTCTTCGTCTGGTCGTGAAGCTTGGAGTTCGTTTTGGTTTTTTCGTATCTACTTTCATACTTTCGGCCCTCTTAATATCCGAAGTTGCTGAAAAAATTTGTGTACCATAATCAATCATAAAATCTTTTTATACTGACGGTAAGAATAAGTAAACGAATATGCTGCAAATATTTCGACATTTAGATTGTAATAAAAATATATTCTTACTTATAAAATTATTATTAAGTTCTTTACATAATTATTATATACCTCGTCTTAATTTTTCGCTAAATATATGCGATAGACCGTATGGCTTTTGAGGTGTCGCAAGTTCTGTTGTTTCGGAAGCGATAGCACCTTTCAATGGAGATAACCTGATGAACAAGCCAATGATATTTATGAAAACATCAGATTATTATTTAGAATATTTTAGAATATAACCAGCCTTATGTGAAGTTTTAACTCACATATTCGCAGATTCATGTTCGTCAACCGAGCCGTTAATTTCGTCGTGTTGCGCGCGATGAGAATTGTCTAATAACCGCCTACGTTCCTCTTCGCGTTTCCGCTCTTCGGTTATCCTTTGCACCTCTTTACGTTTCCGTTCCTCGATCTTCGCGCGTTCGACACGCTCTTTCTCCGCTTGGCGCGCGGCCATTTCCGCCTCTTGCTGCTTTTGAAAGGCATCCTCCAGCTATGTGAATATTTATGATATTAAACATTATATTGTAAGTTTTCAACGATACTAATCAACATTTGTTATCTTATCGTATTGAACGATAAACTCACCATCGTTATCCGTCTAAGTGCGCTGAATCTCTCCTCCTGTGCCTGTATAGTTTTCTCAAAGTCCTCGTGCTTTCTTATCAACTCCTCCACTTGCGAAATGCTATCTCCCAATTTGTCATCTTGTAACATCGGCTCTCTATTGACTATCCAATTCTCCAAGGTTTCAGCATCTCTCTTGAACAACTGCGTGTCCAAATTCTGTTCGTAAATGCGTCTTCTTTTTTGCCATGTATCCTTCAGAATCTGCTGACGTTGTTGCAACACCGATATTTTGTCTTCGATCTCTTTTGCCAAAAAATGTCCCTGCTCGATTAGCTTCTGTCCGATTCGATAGAATTTCTCAAAAGTTTCCTCGCGCGTGTCAATCTCTGATTTGTACTCGTTATGCCTGGAAAGTAGCGCCTCGGCACCAGGAACATCCCGTGCTAATTCTGGCGCTGTCACTTTGGCCACCATCTCGTTTATCCAAGATATCAGTTCCCTATACTCGCCTAAATAGGTCTGCAACTGTTCCGCTTGAGCTAGTTTGCTTCGCCTCTGCGCCGCTTGTTCCAACAATTCGGCCCAGGCCGCTTCCGCCTCCTGATGTTTCACGTTGATGTGTATACGCGCATCCGGGAATAGCTCAATCAATCTTGATGCTTCTTCCATCAGACTCTCCACTTGTTCCTTCACAGCCGCCAGATCAGTCTCAAATCCTTGATGCTTCCTTACCAGTGCCTGAATTGTCTCCAAATCTTGGCAGTAACCATCCGAGCTGAGAGTTGCTTCCTTCTCTTGTATCCAGGATATAGTTTCATCAGCTGTCCTGTCAAACATGTGAACCTGTTTGGCACCCGCCAACGCGTCTTGTCGAGCGTGCGCTAATTCTTTCAAGTCCTCCCATTGTTGTTTTGTTTCGTCAATTTTATGAAGTATCTTGCCTTTTTCTGGATTGTCCTGCTCGATTAACCTTTGCCCCTCGTCAAGTACAGCTGATACACGTCCTTCGCTAGTCGTTAAACCAGCTAAGAAATTGTCGAATATCTGAATCAGCAGTTCCACGTGTTCTACGTCACATCCATAGTCCTCCGATGCGGCGATCTTTAATTATAATATTTAATAATTATATCAATTTTGTAGTATGTTATAGATATAGATTAGTTAATGCATAAAAAGATAAAATTATGTAATTATTACTTGATTATCTAAACTTACCGTTGTTTGGTCCCCGATCCATTCAATCACTTCATCCGCTTGTCTGACAAATTTATAAAACTTTTCGCTTTCCGATAATCTCTGCAGTCGATATTCTTTCAATTTTTGCAATTCTTTGAATTTAAATTCAATATCCGCTTGTTTTTGCGCGATATTCTTGCTATCAAAATGATGACGTTCGACTAGACCACGAGAAAGTTTCTTCAGATTATCGACCGTATTTTCAAAACCGGACAAGTCACGCTCAATGCCTTCTAGCTTCTTCAGCAGAGACTGCACAGAATCTTCATCCTTGCCATGATCAGATGAAGTAAGTTGTGGATGTTTCTCTCTAATCCATTGCTCAGCTTCTGCGGCTTCGGCATAAAACTATAAAGAACAAATTTAATTTTTTATCGCGTGTATGAGAATGATGTACGTCAAACTATTAAATTATTATATCATTAAAATCATTGAAATTATTCATGTTACTTCTATGTAACAATTATTACAAATTAATAAGAGAATAAGAATAATTAAACTTATATATTAATAAAAGTATATTTTATTTTTTACCATTTGTGATTCTACAGCGTCGAGTAATCTCAACTTTCTGACACTTGCTAAATCTCTAAGGTGCGATAGTTCCTCTTGCAACTTTTTAGTCAACTTTTCAATCTTATCCGCTGCAAAGTGTCCACTTCTAATCATTACAGTCGCTCTGCTAACCAATGAAGATACTACAGGCTCTCTGGATAATAGTTCCGCTTCCAAAGCATGGTGTTTCTTTTGTAATCGTTGTACAGTCGTCAAAGAGCTACCGAGATCGTTGCTCGCAGCTAATGGTTCCTTCTCCGATAGCCAGTGCAATTCGTCTTCGACATCTCTCGCGAATTGATGTAGTAATTTCGCGTCTTCTAAATTATCTCTACGTATCTGCATTGGCTCCTGAAGACTGTGATATCTGTTGATCGTAACTAATGCTCTTTTTTGAATTTCATCACTCAAGAAATGATTTGATTTCTGGAAGCTGGCGGCGGTGTCTTTGATAGATTCACACGCCTCATTGTGACCGAGCACATCGTTCTCCAAATTAGTATGGCGTTTCAGCAAGTTCGCTACGCTCGATAAATCTTTGCCATGATCCTCTGATTGCAATTGGGTTTCCACTTCGTCCATCCATGTCTCAAATTCGTCCAAACTGCGGCCGAATAGCAAAGCTTGATACGCATCATTCAATCGGTTCTTCTTTAGCTCGCTAGTCTCTTGTAGAAGACGCCATTCTGCCTCTAATTCGTCCAAACGTTCTTGTATATCCTTCGAAGCGTAGTGATTTTCTTCGATAAGCGCTTCGCCTTCATTGACGACTGCTGCAACTCTCCCTTTATTTGCCATCAACTCGCTCTCGAATGCAGCGTGTTTCTGTATCTTGCTCTGCAAATTCGAAGAATCTCTATAATTTTCGTCGCCCGCCACCTGTTGCTTCTGATGCAGCCAACCGTCCACCTCATATATGTTCCTGAGAAACTGGTGCAAGTGATGACTCTCCAAAAGTTTCTTTCTTCTAGCTGTTGCACTGTTTTTCAATTTGTCCCTTCTAGTACAAACCGAAGCGAGTCGCTGCTTTATTATACCTGCATCTGCGTGTTCACGCGATAGGATTTCATTTGCGAATTTCTCGAGCTCTTCAATACGTCCTAATTGAGATGCTAACATCTTTTCGAATTCTTCGTGTTTCCGTAATAGCGTCTCGACGCCCGATAATGATTCACCAAGATCGTCGTTGTTGAGAAATGCCTCTTTTGTCGCCAGCCAACTGTCAGCTTGATCGGCTTGTTCTTTGAATAATTGCAGTTGATGCGCTTGCGTTAATTTTTGTCTGCGATTGTCCCAAGCATTTCCCAAGGTTTGCCTGAGTTCTTCCAAATGTTCAAGATTATCCTTGACATCATGATTGATTGAGAGGAGTTTATGGCCGTGATCCTTTAAGCCTTTAAATATATCTTGTCTACCATCAATCTCTGCCTTCCTTTCTTGATGTAGTTCTAGTACAGCTTGGGCTTCGGATATGGTGGTCGGTGGTTCAGATTCATCCATGCGTTTGATAGTATCTGCCACCCAAATATCCAATTCATGCAAATCAGCTTGGAATTTGTGTAATGTATAGGCTTGATTCAAAGCGTCCCGTCGTTGTCGAGTCACACGTTGCAGATCATCCCAGTTAGATTGAAGTTCCGATAATATCCCGTTTATTTCGGATGCCTTGTCTGGGTATTTATGCGACAAGTTTCGCGCCTCTGTCTTATGTTCCTAAATGACATATAAAAACGATGCAAATTAAAATATAAAATCTTAAAATTACATTTAAAACAAAGTATGAAATGTAATTTATTGAATATTAAACTGGAAATTTATTAAAATTCTATTAATATATGAGCGAAGTATATTGAAGATATATTAGTTATTTATATTAAATAACTTTTTGAAAATAATAATCATAAATATAGAGAGAGCTATATTCAATTTTCATTACTATGATCTTATTGAATCTAGTTATGGGAATATATTAAGTGTACAAATAAGTTTTAAAGTGTTTTTAATGAAATTTAATATTTATTTATTTAGAAACCAAAACACACTTAATTATCAAATAATCCCCGTTATTATCTATGACCTTTAGCCATCTTTCGGGCAGCTTGCGAATTCCAGAAACGCCACCACATATCAAAAGAGCGCGAAAATATTTGAATTCTAAGTTTAAATTATACGTTACACAAAAAACGCTTTAAAACTTATTTGTACACCCAATATTTACAATTATTAATTCCAAAATAAAAAATTTACAAGAAACTGATGTCTTTACCTTCAGTTTGCCTTCTATTGCTGTCATGTCTCGCTCCATAGCCTCTTGTTTTCTTTGCAACTGTTCAACAGCAGGTAAATCTTTTCCTGTATCACTCGTATTCATGGCCACTGATTTCTCAATAACTCTTTGGTTTGTGTCGTCAATATCTCGATTAAATAAATGAATTTCTAATGCACCAGCTAACATTTCACGATACGTGCTTAGTGCACCTTGTAAACCTTTCCACTTATTATTAAAGTTATCCCGCCGTTGTTGAATTGCTTTTGATTCATTATCACGACCCTGTTGAGAAAATGAATAAAAACATGAATATTTTTGAATAATAAAATTTATATTTTAATGATATATTTTAATATAATATTTATTTTTTTCATGCTAAACATTTTACCTGTTTTATAAGTTTATCCGCCAAAGCATTGATCGATTTTATTCTAGAATCATCCACTCGCATATCACTGTCTACATCATCGAGTTTCCTCTGGAGGCTTAAGCAGTGCTCATAATCCTTCCCGGTATCACCAGCCTGAACCATCATTTCTTTATCTCTGATCCAAGCCTCGATCTTCTCCACCTGATTGTTGAATTCCAAAATATCTTGAGCCTCTTCTAAACCTCTGCCTCGATTTCCAGATTCCAATAACAATTTTCGCCAGGATGTATGTAAATGATCTAATTGCTGACGAATTTCCGCGCTCGCTGGATGTTTTCGTGTTAACAAAGTCTCTCCTTTTGCTATTTTATAAATATAAATAAATTTATTATTTATTTTTAAATAATAACAAAATAATTCTTTAAATCAAACCATAACTACAACTTATTCAATTAATTTACCTCTAATTTCTTCGATTCTACTTTGATTTGCTGCCAGCTCTGCTTGGAATGCCTGATGTTTCTGTAACTTTTTGATTTTGTCCTCCAAACTGGACACTTCACCTTTAGACGCTTCTGCCTCCAACTTCTTCTGCTTTTCGCCTATCCAAGATTCGGCTTCACCAACATCTCTGACAAACTGTACATGCAGCAGGCTGGCTTCCAACCTTTTCCTTCGCGCATCGCACAGATCACGAATTCTTGCGCGTCTTTGAACGACCTCATTTAGTCGTTGAGCGATCGTCGGTGAATCAAAATGACTCTGCTCCAGAAGTTTGTTTCCATGCTCTTGCAGCGCAGTCAGCTTCTCTTCATGGGTGACCAACAGCTTTTCAAATTCGTTATGTTTTTTCATTTGCGCATCAACTTCTTCGACTGAGACTCCGAAGTTGTCGCCGCTTAGTGCAGCTTCCTGAGTGCTAGACAAGGTGTCAAGCTGTTTGGCGTCTCGGAGGAAGAAATGCAAATCAATCAATTGATCTAAATGCACTTTCTTTTGCTGCCAAGCGGTGTGTAATCTCTGTCGTTCATCCAACAGTTGATTACATTTTTCCTCGACCTCCTAAGAAGTATATCAATGTAATTAACAGATACTCGCGCGAATGTTATTAGCTATAATAGATAAGATGTCTGAGATATATAATTTTACCATAGCGGCGTAGTGACCAGTTTGCACCATAGCTTCGCCTAAATCGAGCACCGAGCTGAAGCTGTCCTCTCGTGCTTCAATTTCTCCTTTCAAAGCCTCGTGCTCTGCTTTCAAGATTTGCGCGCTGGCCGCGTCTCGAACCTTTTCCTCTGTCGACATTGTAGCACGCAATCCAGCTGCCCAGTTCATCAAGTCTCTTACCTAAATGATTCTCCCATTAAAAATAATATAAATCGTCAAATATAACCGACGAAAGTATAATTTAATACTTGAGTGAGGAATCGTTGCAAGTCGCAGCTAGCCTGCAATTGATCCCTTCGATGAGCGGATCTTTCTTTCAATTCTTCCCAATGAGCAACAACGATTTGTTGCTGCTGATCAATGTGCACTGCGTTGTTGCCCGGATAATGTACTTGTAATCTAGACGCATCCTCTACTAACACCTGCAGCTGAGCCTCCAAGGCGACCAAATCATTCTCGAATCCTTCATGTCGTCTAATTAAAGCTAAAACGGAATTTAAATCGCGACCAAGATCTTCTGGCAAAGCAGCCTCTTTCTCTTGTATTCGTGATAGCGCTTCCGCCACATCGCGATGGAATCGATGAATTTCGCCTGCCGCTTGCAATCGTTGCTCACGATTTCGGATGAGGCCCAATAGATGTTGCCATGATTCTCTACAATAAAAAATTGCATCTTAAAATTATAAATTTTATTATCTTTTTTGGAAATTGTGTAAACATTTTTAATGAAAGAGTACAATTCAGGCAAATAACTTTATCACTTGTAATATAATAAATAATTATAATATTGATAAGTGTGCACAATTAATTAATTAATAATTAATTAATATAAAATAATTTCTACATTATAAGATTTTAGAATTCGAACATTTTAATACAAAGTTTTAGAAAGCGGAAAATCTAGAAAAGACTGAAGGTTTCGAATAGAAGATTGCAAAGTTTCGAAAAATTAGAAGCGTAAAAAGTAGATAAATTATGAATCGTAGTTAACGCTTATCTTCGTATATACATGAGTTAGTTCAAGTACCAAACATATACTCACTTCATTGCCTTCTGTTGATTTTGTACTTGAAGTAATGGATCGTCTTCGTCAGATCTATGTTAAATGCGTATACGAAAAAAAAGTTAGTAACCGACACCAACCCAACACCGAGAAAAAATAGACGACTATATATAGGTTTGTAAATTACAGAAAACATGTTACATGATATTAATTTATATCTAATATGCTGTCTTGTTAATTTACTGCATGCAAGTGATGAGATACTAATATTCTACAAGATGAATAAAACAGTAATAAACTAAAAATAATGACAAAAAGATTCTTATTAAATTAGGTATGTTAAAGATTTACCCTAATTGTTCCTGGCGTTTTTCGATATCCTGGATATAAGGACTTTCATTCGCGATTAGTTTTCTGGCTAATTCTTCACACTGATTAAATCTCTCAGAGCCAGCCTCTATTCGATGCTTGAAATCATTGAATTTCGCTTGCAATAGCAGCAGATGTTCATAATCTTGTCCGTAGTCCTCCGATGCAGCTGCTTGTTCTTGTTCTTTAATCCATTGCTCCAATTCTCTGCTCTCTAGGAAATATTCATGGCGATACATGCTCTCCATTAAACGTTGCTGTCTTACGGTAGCCAATCGCTGTAAAGCACGCATTTGTTGAACAATCGCTTGTTGCTTGTTGGCTATCGCTTTACTATCGGGATGCTTTGAATTGATCATTGTAGATGCAGTGTGTCCCATTTCTGTCACGATGCCATTGTATGTGTCTAATTCCAACTCAACAGCCTGTAAATTATAAAACACGAATGTACAGTAACATGATTAATTACGGCATTATAATTAAAGTGAGTTGTTTGGTTGATAGTATTTTATTATTTGTTTTGTAAAAATATTATAAAAATATACCTTATGTTTTGTCAATAATTTCGTGGCAGCATCGCGATCCCTGCCATAATCGGTAGAACTCAGCACATCGTTTTTCTCATTAAGCCAGCTTTCGACTTCGCCAGCTTCAAAAAAGAATTCTTGTGCTCTTAAGGACAAGTCCAATGCTCTGCTGCGCTCTCCTGCTTTGTCTTGTAAGTCTCTCCATGCATCATCCAGAACATCGCACAGTTCTTGAATCTAGTAAAATCATTAATGCATCCAATTATTTATTACCATCTAATAGCTCAATGAATAAAATTTTCAACATGTTACTCGCGCAAAACAAATACGAATTAATGATTCTTTAAATAGTTAATCGCTGATATCAATAAGGTTGACACACTGCCTAGAGTTCTGTCGCTGTGGCAAAAGTATCAGTTTTGCGTCTGCATGCAATAACATACATGTACATATATGTACATCTTCTATCTTGATTCCTGAGACTTATTAAGCAATAGAATAAAATCAAAAAGCTTATTGTGCAATTAAAATTAATAATAAAATTAAAAAATAAGTTAGATATTCCTTTAATCATTTTTACATCTTTAGTGTGAAAAAAGCTGCAAAACAAGTGAGATAATAATAAACAAATATAAAAGATTATAATATTGAAATACTTATATATAAATTTTCGTATATTCTTATAAAAAAAAATAAACATCCATATAAACGACTCTCGATAGACGATTATCAATCTCTTTAATAAAAAAAGTTATGCACAGATGTACACTTCTTTGTCGAAAAGTGTATACACAAATCTATATGATATTTGTTAAAAAGTGATATCTGAAAATAAACTGCTGTACAATTTTTACAATACATTAGGTATTTTACAATACCTTTTATTTTTAACAGCATATTACAATAAGAGTTTCATGTATAAAGAGTCGATTATATAATATAAAGATAGTTTACTTTCAATATTATTAATAGTTTACATAATTTTAGAAACTATGCTATAGAAGTACAAGGACTGTAGTTAACATTTTATAAACAGTAGTAATTAAAATAATAATTTGTTAATTACGTGGAATCTAACTGGATTGCTAACAATTACCATTGAAAAACAATAAACATTTCTGACAACATTTTCCATGCGTTTGTGTGTCTACCTTACCTCCGTAGACGCGGTACCCTTTGAGATGCTCCAGCTGTGCAAAAATCACAAGTTCTTACTCCAGTCTCAGCCAATCATCGTGCGAATTCACGAAAAAAAAGGTTATTATTTGACAAAGAAAACCTTTACCTTTTTCTTCTCCGGATGAGCTTGATCGATGAGTGTCTGTCCAGAAGCTAAAGTCTTATCTATCATAGGCTGATGACCAGCAATTTCCGCCTCTAGCTTCTTATGTTTCTTGTGCAAAGTCTGGGCTTGATGCAGGTTCTGTCCGAGCGTCGTCGAGGATGCTTGAGGCAAATGGTCCTTGATCCACTGCAATTCTGCGTCCAATTCAAAGCCAAATTTATGGAAGCGTAAACTCTCCTCCAATGCTTCTCGACGTCGTTTAGCTGGTTCTTTCAGGCTACGGAATCTACAAAATACAATAAACTTCGTGTATCATTTCGTCGTGTATATCAATCATCTCGGTAACAAATTAGTTTGATCATTGAACAATAGTTAAAAAAAAGAATGATAATTGAAGAAAAAATTCCCACATACTTTCTCTGGGTCGCTTGACTGGTCTTCAGAATATTTGCCGCATCAAAATGACCTTCGTGTGCCATTTCCTGACCCATGGCCACCAGATCGTCTACCTTCTGCTCCCATTGACACATATCGCTTTCGAGAGTTTGATGTTTCTTTAATAATTCCTTGCAACTGCGGAGATCCATACCCACTTGCTTACTTTGCAAACAAGTCTCTATCTCCTCTAGTTTCAATCTAGCATCTTCCATAGTGCGATTATATCCGTGTTGTGAGGCCGCTTGTCGCAATCTACGACCTTTTTCCAACGACAGCGCTACTAGTTGGTCCCATTGATCATTTAAGTCTTTCAAAATTTTTCCTACATCGTCTGATCGGTAATTTTCTTCTGATATGAGCGCCTTGCCCGCTTTGTTAACTGCTCTTAACTGTCCCTCGTTGGCGCGTAATTCTCGTTCGAAAGCTTCGTGCTTTTGTAGTTTACGCTCAAGATTATTTAAATCGCGATAGCTTTCATCGGCCGCGGTCTTCATTTTGTCACCCAACCAATCGCGCAAGTCATCCACTTCGGCTGAGAATTGTTGATAATGCTCCGATGCTTTTAAGGCTGCTCTTCGACGTTGAGCAGCGTCCTTCACTGCCATACGACGAGCTAGTACTTGATTTCTTCTTTCGTTAATGCTAGATAAATTAGATTCATGTAACTAATATATGATATAAAAGTTTTTAAATATATATTTTATTTTAAAAATCATTTTTGTAATAATGACTTCAATTTAATATTTAATATTTTATAAGATTTATAATATTATTTTTTTACTCGTATCGATCAATTTGTGTAACAAATTGTTTTAATACTTACTGATCTTTGTCATAATGATTTTGGGCGATTAATTTGTCTGCGGTGTCACTAAATGCCTTTAACCTGTCATCTTGCGCGTGAAGGGTGTTCTCGAATTTTTCATGTTGTTTCAATAGAGCCTCGACATCATCCAAAGATTCGCCCAAGTCCGTGAATTCAAGGAAAGCTTCGTGAGAACTGGTAGTAGCTTCGATCTGATCGGCTTCTCGATTAAATTGTTGTAATTCTAGACACTGTCGTAGCCATTCTTCTTTTGCTATCCAATTGGTTGTTACCGTTGGATATAATCCATTTAGCTTTTCTAGACGTTCGCGTACATCCGTCAATGTCGGGTTACGACGTAATAGCTCTCTACCGAGATCTTCAACCTCGCGGAATCTGCAAGCATAGAAACAAGGATGATAGTTTATAAAAAATTAGATATTTAAATTAACAATAAATTATTTTAATAAACTTATTATTAATAAAGAATAAATTATTTTTATTAACAATATTTTATGAAATTTTTAAATACAAAATTGATTGTATAATGTTAGCAGTTACATACTCGTCTTCTTTGGTTCGTATGTCTTCTCCAAGTTCCATGTGTTGTTTCTTAAGCTGCTCGGCAGTAGCAACATCTCTTACTGGTTCTTCGGCCTTCATTATTTCTTGCGTATCTGTAGCCCAGTTGATTAAATTCTTTGAACTGTTTATGAATATCTGTTGACCGACCGCGTCTTCTAAACGAGATCGTCGTTCCTTGGCCTTTGTTTGGACTTTGTTCCACAAATCTTTAATCTCGTTTTGTCTCACATTGACATTATTACATTCGTGTGGATATGAACTTTTGACGCTGTTGCCTAATAAATTTACTTTCCGTACCTATAAAAATAAAATAAAATAAAATAAAATTATATAAGAAAATTAAAAGTGATTTTTTTGTTATTTATTATTTGACGCTTTATTTATTCAAAATTCTGAAATTATTTTACTTTTTCTTCAACTGGAGCCAATTCTCGTTCCAAATGCTGATGTCTCCTTTGCAGAGCCTGCACAGTCTTCAAGTCGGGTCCCAACTCGGCCGTATCTAGCTGGGTGATTTTCTCCAGCATCCAATCGTGAGCTTCGTCACAGGTTCTGTTGAATAACTCAACGCTGGACGCGCCCTCCAAGCTCTTTTCTTTCTGTGTTTTCAGCCAGTTTAGATGATCCCATAGCTGATGAATGTGCCTCTGCCTGGCCTTGACTTTATCTAGCTGACTGTGGCCTTGGCGAACAAATTCATCTACCGCTGTGTCTATTGCCTCCACTCGTTTCCCGGAAGCCGACAGATCCGTTAAAAATTTCTCATACTTTCTCCTTGCCGACTCGACATTGTCGCGAGGATCATCGACTCTTAACATCTTCTCCTTGTCTTTAATCCACTTTTCAAAGTCGTCGCATTCCCGGTAAAATCCATAAAGCCTGATAGCGTCCTCCAGCAACGCGTGACGTTTTACAGCGAGATCCTGTAACTCGCTGTAAGTCTCATTGATTTTTTTCTGTCGCTTTTCCACACTGTCACCGTCGCTTACCGCTTTTCGCTTAATCGGCTTCACGGTGGACTTAATGGATTTTAATCGCCGAACAGGTACCACCTGTTTCACCATTTTCGTCTTCTTCACGCGCTGTGTCACTTTGATCTTTTCAGGTCTACGTACTTGTACTTGCACGACTTTTGGCTCGATCTCACGTACGTAATTAGCCGGCACAAATCCATCCGTACCGTCAACTTTCCTAACGCTCCACCAGTCGGGATTTGTCTTGTTCAACAGGAACATGACTTCACCCTTCACCATATGCATGCCTTGACCGTTAAATGGATATAAACTCTTCACTTGTGGTACCAATCTATCCTCATTAATAGTTCGCGGCTCGAGTCGTTCGATTACTTCGTCCACCCATTCGTCTTGTGGCATCAATCTGATCTCCTTACTCCATTCTTCCTGTTCAAGTTCGGCAACTGGTTCTGGATCGGCAGATAACTCCAGGGTGGAAATGCCAGATTTAATGAGTTTCTCCGCTTGTGTGTTCAAAGATTGTACATCACCTTTGTAGGCGTTTAGCTCACCTTCCAAATCTTTATGCCTTTGCAATAAGGCTTGAGCACTTGGTTCGTCCACTCCATAATCTTCCGAGGCTACTAGAGCCATTTTTTCATTCATCCAAGAATCCGCCTCATTTGCATCGGCGTAAAATTGGAACGCTTCGGCCGCGTCGTCCAGCTGTTTCTTTCGCAATGCCGCTAGTTCCTCCAAGACCCTCCAGTGTTCCTGCAACGAATCTATTCGATTCTGTATCTCCAATGCCGATGGATGATTGTCGGCTATCAGTTTTCTACCAGCATCGCAAAGTTGCTCGGATTTAGGCCTGCGCACTTTCGTTTCATCCTGCAAGGCTTTATGTTTCTGCTGCAGCGATATTACGGCTCGTAAGTCCTTCGCGGAAATGCCAGCCTTACATATTCGCTGTTTTTCTACCAGCCACGACTCTTCGTCCTCGTGATCCTGAAGAAAGTGGAAGAAATTCCTGGCATCTTCTAGACGAGCTTTACGCTCCTTGCTATTTTCCACAAGTTCGTCATAGGCGCGATTTAGTAATTCCAGCTTCTGTTGCAACAATGGTGCCTCCTTGTTCTGTGGCTGTGCCAAGTGTTGAGCGGCTTGTCTACCGAGTCGTCTTTGGCTCTCACCTAGAGCTGTCACCTGCAGTTCCTGTAAGCTGTGTTTTTGCAGCAGATCCTCAACTCCGAGTAAGTGCGGACCCACGTCAGTGCTCTGGAAATTCAACTGGAGCTCCTGGATGGAAGCTAACGTTGTATCAATTTCTCTCATTAAGGTCATTAGCGAGCTGAGCGCGACCAGATTGGATTTATGATTGTCTAGCAGAGCCAGCAATTCTTTCCATCTCTGCAACACCTCTTGCTCTCTGCTGCGTACTCTCTCTAAACCGTGATAATTTTCCCGCACCAATTCTTCGGACATATTTGTTAAGTCGTGGAAGCGCTCCTCGCGTGCCAAAATGTCAGCGCTGATGGCCTCGTGCTTTTTCACTGTGGCATCTACTTGTGCTAGATTGCTGCCATATCGAGGATCCGTCAGAACTTGAATCATTTCTTTCAAATAACCTTCTCTGAGTACACTTTTTCTTTCAAACTTGTAATTTAATTGCTCGAGTCTCTCTTGTCGCAACAACTCAGTCCTCAGGGCGACTTCACGACGATGCTCCGCTCTCTCCAGCTCTACCCAATTTCTCTCGATATCGTGGATCAGCTGACCCTCCTGTGGGGTGAATGCTGGCTGATTCAGAGACTTTAATCGGGTGTTTATATGAAAATATAATGCTTCTATCTCAGACCGTTCCTTGTACTTCGGCGGTTTCTCCACTGTTCGGTATTGCTTGAAGGCTAATAGTTCCCGTTGAATACCTTCAAGTGAGTTTGGAAAGCTGCGATTCTCCAAAACCTCGATTTTCATCTTGATCCATTCCAATAGATCAGTTGTTAACTTTTCATAATGAATTTTCATCTTGTCGGCGTCCATCATTTGGCCAACAATCTGTGAGTATAAAAAAAGAAAGTCAACATATTTGTAATTGAGATATTTAATTAAATATAATTAATTCTCTTAGATTCTTGAATTTATAGCTTTTTTAAAGTAAAAGATATTTTAATTATAAAATATAATATATAATATATATGTATAGATATTTATATACATTATATACGCTATCATTAAAAAAAGTATATAAATTTAAATTTTTAAGTGATTCTTTATAGATTCTTTCAAATATCTTTATATCAGAAAATTAAAATGTCAAATTCTTTGATTTAATCTCAATGATATCAGAAAGAAATATAGATTTTCGACCTTTCAGATCTTCAGAATCTTATATCTTTATATTTTCAAAATATGGTTTATTTTATATACATATATCATAGTTTTATATACATATATCGAAAAAAAAAAAAGATTTTTAAATAATCGTACATTTGCTATTCTTTTGCCGCTTTTTATTTCGTTCTTCATCCTGGCGAATGTGTGATAATAAGACGCAACATAGGTGATAATGGATTTCTCGTCTGGCCTGGCTGTATCCACATCCTCTGCATCCAATAGCCGTGGAATGCCGAGTTCCGAATTAGCAACGTCAAAGGCATAATTGAGATTATCGATGTTCTTATTTTGTTGTAATTCCGACCAATTGACCAAGTCCGGTCTGTGAGCGTGTATGAGAGCGTTGAAACCGAGTCCATTCCTCCACGAGCCTATTCGTGTAATGTTCAAAATATTTTAAATATTTCTCAATATATACAAATAATATAAAATACTATTTAATCTTTAATATAAAATATCTAATAATTTCTTTTCAATTATCTCAAAAACTTTTAATACTTAAAAAAAATGGAGTAAAGTTTATAGCTTTGAAGATTCGCGTGCAGGATTATGCTAAATGTTTTCTCGATTCATAAATATTATAAAATTTCTTTTTTTGAGACATTCGGATACTTTGAATATTCATGTCGCGTAATTGCATGCAAGACAGAGAACTCGACTCACCGGTAAAATCCTGGATGTTAACGCCGGGATAGCCATTTGTCTTTCTCTGGCACCAGAGTAGCAGAGCATCTTTGGCAGATTTCTTCTCACTGGTTTCGTTTTCTTCATCTACATCGATTTCGATCTCTTGGATTTGGAACCTCAAAATTATGGTCCAGATAAGACCGAGAATCAATCTAGGATTACCATCCACGATATCTTCTGCACCAATACTCTCAAGGCGAACCTGAAACACAGAATGTAATCTTTGAGATCAGGAAGAGTGTTGAAATAAATTGAAGAGAATAATGATTTTGAAATAAAAAAATTTCTGAACGAGAACATTTTAACATTAGAAAATATCTTACGTTTTACAATAATTTATCTCGATTATACAAATATTAGCACTTAATTAATATTACCTAAATAACAGTGATGCTTTTTCAGAAATTAAGAAAATTGTTTCATATACATTTATGTCGTATAGATGTAAAACGTCGACAGAATTTCTTAACTGAATTTTTTTCTTTTTTCGCGAAACTTCTCTCTCGTGTCATCTTATGCTACATATTATAGTTTCAAGTTTCGCTACTTAGGACATCGCGTCATTCCAATGTGCTATGCTGTGCAATGAGACCTCCACAAGTTCCTTCTCGAAACTCATCGATCAGCGAGCGAATAATGCGCCCGTATAATTTATTCGACGTTTACGTGCCGTTCGCATGATTATTTATTCGCATTCCGATCTATTGCACGATCGCGGTGCAGTATTCGACGCAGGTTGCGTAAATGACAGGTTTTAATAACGGATGAGTAATTCATAAAAATAGAAAATGCGCGAGACGTAATCGCAATTCTAAGTAATCTAGAGTAGCAAGGCGCTACATTATAAAGTGTTATCGAGAAAACCGGTAGAGAGACGCGTTTGTCGCTTTTTGTTTACAGTTCTTAACTAAATTAATTAAATATACAGCTGTTTTTTGCTTAAACTTTCATTGATGCATTTTCTTTATATTTTATATACGCTACAAAATAAAATCCAAAGTTACCGGTTACTAATTTTAGGACGATATCTGCAAATGAACGATTGAATCAAAATTTCAAAATGTCAAAATACATAATTACGTGAGAGGCGTAAATCTTAACGGCGATGTGTTTGGTAATTGGTTGTCATTGCACGTACGTTTCTCCAAGAGAAACGAATACAAACATCGGTACTTAATACTAGTCTCTCTGAAATTCCGGTTAATTTTATTTAAGCCATGGACGCGCAACGGTTATGAAATTTATTTCGGACCATTAATTTCGAGGCGCGTAAAATCCCGTTGAGAGCGTCGACTCGGCGGAAGTAATTATGTGACCGTGCCGTATAATGAATTACAACTGATGCGATTTAATAATTGCATTTTATTCCGCGTGATCGAGGAGCATGCGGAACGGGCGGAGAAATTATTTCAGCCTCTTTTCTCCGCACGGCCTGCTTTCATGTTTTACGACTTCGCGTCTCGTAATTATACAAAATAATAAAGTTGACCGTTACGTTGAGTCTCCAAAGTGAATTAGACAGAACAATGTCTTAATTTTTTTTAATACTATAGTTGTTTTCAATAAAATTCACCTTGTCGCCATGCAAGCATTTTGTAATTCGATCGAATAGCAATATAGAGATTTTAGATGAAAAACAAGTTGTAAATTATTATACAGAGATATATTTGAATTTAATCTTGACACTGGAAAGAGACTGAAGACACTGGCTCTACAGATGATAATTAATGGCTCGATTATTCCGCTCGTGAATCTCTCTTAGTCAGTAAAATTATTCTCGCGCACACTACTGCCAGTGGCAACCGATCGCTATGTGTCACTGCATTATGCTTCACTCGAGCATAATAGGGTCTTATTGATAATGCAGCATTTGTTACTTCCAATTGGCAGCAACGGCAATCACGAGTGCCGGGCCATTATTGATAATCTCTTGTCGATGGTGAAAGTAGAGCGTTATATCATTGGACGTACTGTTATTTGTTTGCCGATCGCTAATAATTCTGTGATGATAGTCAATGTGTTTTTAATGGTTTCCTTAACGCTCGCGGACGTAAACTCTGATGATATAATTGTAGGTACCGCGCCTTATATATGCATGGGAAACATAAGTGAAGATCACAGATTATCCTTGTAAATGCTTCCTCCTTGAAGAGTATCACTCTTTTTACAGTAACTGGATATCGTGATATCATCAGAATCCGCTTGACACAGAAAGCAATATTTCTTTTAAGTAGTCTGCATTTCTCAATAAATTGCATTATACTGTAAATTATGCTTTGTCAACATCTTTGAAGTGAAGTTTAATTAGATAATGTATATACCTAAAGTTAAAATTGTTAAGAAACTTTGAAAAAATATTTAATGAATTCTTTACCATAATAAAAAAAGATTGGCTCTACATATATTATATAGATACATAATATAATAATAATTATAATGATGATGTACTATTTTGAACATAAATGTAAAGCTTTTACAATGCACGAATTATAGAGAAAAACTTATTAAAAAAATATTTTATGTTACAGGAACCGCTCGGACTTTTTCTGGGGCAAGTTCACGTTTAAACACTAAAAGAGATAGATCGTTCTTATAGAAAATCTAATTTAATACTGAAATATTCAAAATAAGCAGCAATCAATTTTATTATTAAATTTCTGTAATGGTCAACTTATACTGTAACTCGGTTCCCGACCGTAATTTCATTCGCTTGACGGTCGCGGAGTAAGTATGTATATATATCGATGGGATCGACAGTCTTATGCTCGCGCTTCTCGCCACGCTATTATAGTTAATCGCGGCGCACGCCGTCGATAGACGTTTCCCGCGCCCGGCGGCTGCTGCTGCTGCTGGAATGCAGTCCGATCACTTGTGCCGGGGGTTCTATCAAGGCCGCTGGGAAATGGAAATTATGGCGTTTGTCAGCCGCGGCGGCTGACAGCACGCGGAATCCAAAACAAAGAGAACGTATAGCGTCACCGTTACGCGGCCGTCGTCGTCGTCGCTGGCAACATCTTCGTGGACGAAGTTAACGAGCCGAGTCTGGTCGAGACCGCTGAGTGCTGCTAGATCTCAACGTCATCTCGGCCGACCGGACTTCCTTGTCTCCCGCAGGCTTCCAGCCACGTGCTCATCTCGGCTTATTTTGCGGCAACCGATTGCCAGATGTCCGAGCAGGGCGGTTGCCACTTCGAACTTATTATCGTTTGACTCGATTTTCTTGTAGCTCAAGCTGTGAAACGTGTATATAGTGGACTTAATCCGTCGAGTACATTATAGCCACGTGTACGCATGTAAGAAAATAATGCAAAAAGGCCGATCCAATTAGTTTAATTAGATTGCCGATGAAAATTCAACCCTAAGTTTTATTCGAGCAAGACGTTATTGTACATTATTGCGGAAGAAAGATTAAATATCATTTGCATTTCTCACGTCATACTTGGTCAATTAAGCCGCTTTAAGATCGCGTCTTTCTAATTATATTTTCTATTTATATTTTACGTAATTTTATATTAACGATAGAGAGATATTAATAAAATTTAATCTCCTTATCATTAAGTTTTAATATATAGTAAAAATTATGTTCACAGCTTTTACACCAAATTTTATTATTCATTTTTTGATTAGCTGCTCGATTCCACGTTATCAAGATGAAGAAAGAACACTTCTTACATATAAATGTTGTCTTATATTCTTAATGATTACTGCTGTTACTTATGATAAATATACCCCGCGGCTTCTCAAAGATGCACTCGCGTGCATTTCCTTCGCAGGGAAGACAGTCCTCTCGGCGAGACAAATAGCGAACATGGCACATCAGGTTGAGCAGGCGCGCGCGGAATGTCGCAACCGATTTATCGTGTAACTTAAAAAGTTCATCCCTTCCGGCGTGATTCATCTCGTGCGATAACGGGACAGGACGCACGACTAATGATCTACTTAGGGCTAAACCGCGTGGCGAGAACACGGGGGCAAGCGCATTCCCGTCGCTGTCACCGTGCAATTTGCAGCTACCGCGCGCATTATGCACCTTGTCCGTAATAACAGCGAGCGGATAATACATCTACGAGCGAGTATCCACTCGATAATGATAGTGCGACCGCTCCGGCTAACGATGTGCGACATACGCGCTGACCGGTGCAACGATCGGGTATAGCCAGATCAGCTGTTCGTGCCTCTCTTCCCTCCTCCTCGTCCATTAACTTTGGAATTCTAATGCGCGATGTCAACGATACGCGATATGGCGTGAGCGATATCGCGGTGTTCAACGGTGCATCGCGAACTAAAACTGCAACTCGAAGCGAAGCGCAGCCGAGTGACGACGTAAATCCGCGCAGAACAGCTTGAGACGATACGATTCACGAATGAAAATTGCGATACAGAATGTATAAAATTAAATGAGAAATTCTTATAAAATACAGTTTCTTATAATATAAAATGCGTATAAAAACAAGTCTGGATGAAGAAGTGGAACGTACGGTGTACTTGAATTTCTCGTCGACGCAAACTAGAAGTAATAATATAACATCAATTAATTATAGTTTCATACTCAATAATATACTAATGTAATATAAATCATATGGTATTACGTAATGGTTATATTATTAAGTAATATAATATTAAATTAATGGACATTCTAAAGGTAATATAACATCAATGTTACAATTGATTTCTTCTGCATACAAATCACTGTGTTACTACACATAAAATAAAATATAATACGCATTCAGATGGTATTTGCGAAAAATTATTTGCAAAAATACTAGGATATATGCAGAATGTGTTCCACATTGTATTACGTAAATACAATATATATATTGCATCACACATATTTGCATAAAGGTAAGTAACAGTATATAATTATTATAAATATCACGATAAGAATGGACAAATTTCAACAGTTACTTTCAATATAATTTATATTAAACGATATAGAGAGAGTGTGCGCGTGCGCATGTCATTTGAATGACATGAAACGCGAATGAATAAATTATAAATCTAAAATAAAATCTACACTGATGTGTGTATATAAGCGAAAACCATCGTGTGCATTTAACTGTTCTCTAACATCCACCATACACACGACGAAAGTAATTCAGCGAAAAGGCGATTCGCGAAATTAACTGTGAGGTATTTTTAAACGTTTCTATACGGGGGCCGAGAAATCTCAGAAGAAACGAATAAGATAAATATAGCACAGTC